TGTTGGGGCCTCCCCCGTTGCGGAGCACAGGCTCCGGATGCGCAGGCTCAGCGGCCATGGCTCACGGGCCCAGCGGCTCGGCGGCATGTGGGATCTTCCCGGACCGGGTCACGAACCTGTGCCCGCTGCATCGCAGGCGGACTCTCAACCACTGCGCCACCAGGGAAGCCCCTTAACTTTTTTTTTTTTTGCCCTACTCTTTTAAGGGGGTAGATTCTGTATTCTTTGCAAGGTCTTCAAAATGTAGTTATTTAATGATTTCTTACTAAATGATTATTTTACCTTTTCAGAAAAAAATAATCATATCTAGTTTTTCACACACTCTGTTCGGGAGGTTGGAGAAGGCTGAGAAGTGGAAGGACTTTAGCTGCCCAGCCTTTCCCCCGACTTATGGAATTTATGGTATCAGCTTGAGAAGAAAACCAACCTTGATTGATGCCTGAAATTCTTTGAACAGAGAACCAGGCTTGTACCAAATTATCAGAACTTGACTCAGACTCTGAATGTAAAGACCCCTTGAAAGAGTCTTAACCCAAGTACCAGTGACTAATAGCAGAGGCAGCATGGCAGAGTGGAGACCCTCTGTTCTTGGAGTCTGGTAGATGGTGTTGTTGTTGTTGTTTAATTTATTTATTTTAGTTAATTTATTTTTATTTTTGGCTGCGTTGGGTCTTTGTTGCTGCACTTGGGCTTTCTCTAGTTGTGGCGAGTGGGGGCTACTCTTCATTGTGGTGCGTGGGCTTCTTATTGTAGTGGCTTCTCTTGTTGAGAAGCATGGGCTCCAGGCGCGCGGGCTTCAGTAGTTGTGGCTCACGGGCTCAGTAGTTGTGGCTTGTGGGCTCTAGAGCACAGGCTCAGTAGTTGTGACCCACGGGCTTAGTTGCTCCGTGGCATGTGGGATCTTCCCGGACCAGGGCTTGAACCTGTGTCCCCTGCATTGGCAGGTGGATTCTTAACCACTGGGCCACCAGGGAAGCCCTAGACAGTGTTTTGAATTCTAATTCTATCACTGCCAAGTTTGTTTGATTTTAATATTTTTGTTTTTCCTGCTGTACTTATTCACTCTGTTATTTTAGAAAGAATTTAAGGTAGATGCATTAAAACATGCGACACAAAAAGGTAAATTTAACTTAAAGATAAGTCGATGAGGTCACCAGGGTTAAGGGAGTATGTGTGAAAGGAGGATGAGATGGACCCAGGAGTGATTGTTATAAGGACCTACATATTTGCTAGAAATGAATCTGTCAGCTCTTCTGAGCCACCAACGTGAGGATTGAAACATGAACAGTTACATGATTAAGTATGTCCGTGAGAGAAAAAGAACCTTCTTGATCAGAAAGAAGATATTTTTGAGAAAGTTTTCCCTGGGTCCACATACAAAGTATGTATGTAATGATCAGTCAGTGGCCTTAAAAAAAGGCAACACTGAGTTTCTTTTTACCAAGTCTTTCTCAATATATTACTCTACTTTTTCCTCACTTCAAAGAAATATGTATTTATTTAAGGACATTTAGGAAGTACCTATAAGCAAAATCAAGAAGAAAAAGTATCATCCATAATTTCAGCATCTAGAAATATCCACATTAACATTTTGGTGCATATACTGCAAGTTCATTTATACCAGTGGTTGTCAGAGTTTTCTGTAAAGTGTCAGATAGTTAATATTTACAGACCATACGGTATCTATTGAAACATCAGCTCTGCCATTGTAGCACGAAAACATTCACAGATAACATGCAAATGAGTGGGCATAGCTGTATTCCAATAAAACTTTATTTACAAGAACTGGCAATTGGCGAGATTTGATCCTCAGCCATAGTTTACAAACCCCCAATTTTTTTTTTCAGTGTTTAACTTTTAATTTTTTTGTTTTTTTAACATCTTTATTGGAGTATAATTGCTTTACAATGTTGTGTTAGTTTCTGCTGTATAAAAAAGTGAATCAGCTATATGTATACGTATATCCCCGTATCCCCTCCCTCTTGCGTCTCCCTCCCACCCTCCCTATCCCACCCCTCTAGCTGGTCACAAAGCACCGAGCTGATATCGTGCGATGCAGCTGCTTCCCACTAGCTATTTCACATTTAAACCCCTGATTTATACCCACTTACCTTCCCCCCATCCCTCCCTTCCTTCTCTCCTTCCTTCTTTCCTTTCTTTAAAAAATTATTTTTTCTACAACTTTTTATTTTGAAATAATTAAAGATTCATAGGAAGTTGCAAAGATAGTATGGAGAAGTCTTTTTTCAGTACAAAACCCTGTAGATCCATCAAACTTGTTGCTTTTATCAATAGTTTGTGCCTTTTATCACTGAGTATTATTCCTTTTTATCACTGAATATAGTGCCATAGTTTGTTTAACCATTCACCTATTGTAGGGTGTTTTGATTGTTTCCAGTTTGGGCTTTAATAATGCTGCTGTGAGCAATTGTATCTGGGATTAGAGATTCATTTCTTTGGTAGGTGTATGTTTCATGTGGAGAACATTGGATCAGTCCTGATCTGTCCATTGCTCAGCAGAAGAAGCAAATCTTCCTGAGGAACTTAGCATCAGATATTTCTAAAATTCAAACTTTCTGCAGTACACGTAAGATAGAGGGTAAGCATTGGAATTATTTACTTTATATATGTACAGCCAAAAAAAAAAAAAAAAATTGATGATATTGCTTTTTTTAAAAAAAAATCCAACTTTGTTTAAACAGGTCACGTTTCACCCCTGCATCTTGCTGTTTAGCTTTAGATTAATTTTTATATTTAACAGAGTTGCATATTTTAATTCACACTATACTTTGGATGTGCAGAGAAAACATACTTTCTTTATTTTGTCTTTAACAAATTGGGCCTTCTTTGTGAGCCCCAGGTACCCCCATCAAGGAAAACTTTAAATGTACAGTCAGGTTTAAATTTGTCCCATCCATTAATTTAAATAGTCCCTTTCGGGAAGGCTTTCAGATTTCTCAGTTTCCAGACTCTCACTCTAGTTCTTCTCTAGGATGGGAGGAAAGAACTCGGGGTGCAGATCCTCTTGCTTTCTGGGTCCTGCTGGCTGAAGTCCATGGCTGGGTGACAGTGTTCCATTCTTTTGGCCCAGATAATGCTTTGGGTGGGTGGTACTTCCTGCCTGCCTCAGCCTCCCCTCTGCTCCCTCTGGTCCTCTGCAGCCTGGTTGTGGTTGGGTAGCCATCTCTACAAATCCTTGCTACAGAACCTCTTGAACCCTGCTTGGCAGCCACTTCTGGAAAGCTCCCCTGCATGGCTCTTAGTAAATCCTGGGTCATGGTTGCACTTCCCGGAAACCAGATCCAGGTTCATGTGGCTATGCCACAGATTGGAGTGGTGAAGACAGCTCAAGAGGTAACTCATCACCGTGTCCTGAACCATAGGCAATGTCCTCAGTGTTTCCTTGTCTAGTTAAGATTCCTGCAGCAAAGCCTGTAGGCAGAATCATGACACCCAGTGCTGGTTTTCTGCCTTCCTTTGTGTTCTGCCACAGATCCCCTCAGGCCCAGAAATGGTAGGTTTCCTCCAGGTCAACACTGAGATAAGCTAAATAGGAGCTAAAGGCTTTTGGAAAAGACCCTAAATCATGACAGTGTCATCTGACTTACATGGCCATTGTCTTGTGCCTGAATGTCAAAACTGTATTTGTACTTTTGCTCTCCTTTTGTAACAATTCTCATTCCTCATGGTCTACCACCTTCCCTTAAGGCTACCCCAGGACCAGGACAAAGGTCCTATATATAGAAGAGAAAAATCATTAATATAATTTAAAAATTCTCTTATTGCATATCTTGAACACTGTACATTAAGCTTTGCATGTGTCTTTTAAGGCATTGGGAACTTTCATTGAGGAGTTTGGATCCCAGAGAATGACCAAGAGGCGTATGTCTAAATAATGGAACCCATTTGAATAGTTAGAATTTATAACTAACTTATTTTTGGAAAGACCTATTTTTTAGCACTTTTGACTGAGAATGTCTTGAGAGGAAAGAATTTACAAAAATTAAATTAAGTGAAATCCAATTTATTAGTTTAAAGAGCAACTATCAATTATACTTAGAATGTATTCTCTTAGACCAAATAGCTGGAAATTTTCTGCATTTTTATTTTAACACGTGTTTTCAAAATCCTAGTGCTCTGAGGTCATAACTAATATGTCCTTGCAATTTGTGCATTTCTCCTCAGCTCTTGTTTTAGAAGTCCAAAGTGATGTTGTGTTGGGAGCCAAGCTTGCTGTGCGGAAACCAAGTTTTGGAGAAGAGAAGCAAATTATAGAACCAGAGGAAAAGCAAGTGCAAAAAAATGCTTTAACATCGGGAAATGCTTCCAGTGAAATTCTGTAAGTAATCAGTGTGGCCAGAAAAGTTACCTGGTTCCTATTTGAACTTCAGCTCATTAGCTCAGTAACACCACAGAGCCCATGCAGGGAACCCGGCCAAGTTTATGAAACTAATGGAAGTTGAAGAGCTAGTATTTAATTAGTTTCCTGACAAAGGGATAGAGCTGGAGCTTCAGTGTTCAACCACCACAATGATCTACTTTCAGTAATTTTGTTATGATGTTGCTATTTTTAAGAGACTGGAATCTTAGAACTGGAGACATTTATTTGAGGAATTCATCACGTTTTTGTTTCCATAAACATGGACTTCAGGAACAATTATGCTTCTTCCTTAATGGAGGTTCAAGTTGAATGCATGTTAATATAAGTTATCACCCTGGATGCTGAAATAGCTTTCTGATCGGTTTCTATCTCCATAATCTCCTTGCAATTCACCTTGAAGTTTTGTCTATGGACAATCTTTCTAAAACACAATCCTCTTTATACAGTGCTTCAATGGCTACCTATTGCAGACAGAAGACAATGTTAAGTCTGGAATCCCAAGCCCTCCTGACCCTGGTCCAGGCCTGTCATTAATCCTCATTTGTACCCCCATGCCCACCTCCACTCCACACTTTTTCTTTGTGCCACATGAACTCCAAGCTCCAGCCCGGCAGCTACGAGCTGTCTCTGGACTGCGGCCTTACTCCGCTGATGCACTGCTGCAGGCCTCTCACCACATATTCATTTCTCTCCAGCTGATGTGCCCCGTCCTCTGTCTGTGGAAGGATTCTTTATCATTGAAATCAATCATGACAATGACTGTACTAGCAATGTACTTATCAGTTCCCTCCCCTCTACTCCACCAACCACCACCAATTTGGGAATTCCTTGAGGGCAAAAACTCTATCACACGTGTTCTGGGAAGACCAGGATAACTGACTTTTGTCATCATTTACAGAATAAATGACGTAATCATTGAATTAGTTTCCAAATTATAAAACCAAAAATAGCAAGTCAATTACCATTGCAATAACTGAAAATTAGTTGTATACAAATTAATTTTCATTAATCATTGGTATACAAGCTGTTTTAAACAACTGTTTCTATCCTCAATTACAATAATATTAACTTTTATGTTAGGAATCAAACTTCCTCATTTTGATGGGTAGTTCATCTGGTCATACATCCTGACACTAACAAAGGCACCAGAAAGCCTTTATGAGAGAGATTGATTTGACCTATATTGTATCTTCTTCAATTGTTAGAGAATTGGCCACAGACTTTTCTAACATTCCCTTTCGTTCATTCTTCTAAAGAATGTGTCTAGCCTCTGAGTTATTATACTGCACTTGGAAAAAAATAAATAAACAGGAAGTAAAAAAATAAAGAAAGAGCACCTTTGAGAGCAAAGATTCTTGTTGTTCTGATTCATAGATTTCATCAAGGCCTGAAATCCTCGAGCTAAAAGTCTTTGAGTCCACTCAAAACATAATGCAGGAGCATGGTGACTATACTTAATAATACTGCACTGCATATTTGAAAGTTGCTAAGAGAGAAGATCTTAAAAGTCTTCATTACAAGAAAAAAGTTTTTGGAACTATCTGCGGGGATAGATGTTAACCAGACATATTGTGGGGATCATTTTGCAGTATATACAAATATCAAATCATTATGCTGTACACCCAAAACTAATATAGTGTTATATGTCAATTATACCTCAATTTAAAAAACAAAAGCATAATGCAGGAATCTCCTGCACATTCTAGGCAAGCTCTTTTGATCCAGCCTCTTCTTGAATACTCCTAGGAACAGGGAGATCACTATTTCACAAGGCAGCCCATTTTAATGTTGAAATAATAATTCAGAATACCTCTATCCTTCTATGACTCCATTGGTAAAGTAGACCCTACCCCACCTCACCCAGTTTCCATCACAATTTCCTGTTTTATTCCACTTGTGATATTCATTGTTTGTTTATTCATTTACTTATCTACTATCTCTCTTCTTCCCACTAGAATGTAAGCTCCATGAATCCTGAGAACTTAACTGTTTTGTTCACCACTATATTCCCAATACTTAGAATTCTGTGCCTACAATATAGTAGATGTTTAAGAAATTATTAGTTAAAGGAATGAATGATTAAATAATGACTAGTTATATGAATGAATGAATGGACATGAATCAATAAAGCAAGATGTATTTTTAAATGGCTGTTCTAAAATGAACTTGACTGTCCTTCATTTGCTTGGGAGCCGAGGAGTATATAGATATCCCAAGTTAGAAAATCCCATCTGGATTTGGAGGAAGAATCTTGTTATGTCTAAGAATGACTTTTTTTGGTCCGTTTCCCTCAAAGAAATGGAGTTGGTGGGAAAGCTGTGTTTTTTATTTTCAACACAAGATGGCACTGTTGTTTCTCTAACTGTTAATGAGCTTTTTGTCTTCAGAAGCTGCTTGTGCTGCAACTCTGAATAAGGCTGTTGTTACCCACCAATTTCATATCCACATGTAATACTTTTGTTACATTTGAAAAGTGTATGGTCTGCTCTGCTAATGCAGGAAGTGTCCCTGGAGATTTGGGTGATTCGATATTGCTTGCAGTTACATCAAATTACCGCAAGCACCTCTTGTGACCACAGCCTCCCCCAGAGAACTTTGTTTACACATATGCACATTTAGAGTGCTGACGTATGCTTGCTGCTTCGCCTGTATATTTATCCTGTCTTCAGCAGAGCAGTCCTCATATTGTGTCATGATCCCACGGAAGCAGGTGTACCCTAAACAGTGCCTGGGGATTTGATATATTCAGATCTGCATGGTGGTTATGTTTCCATTCACGGTTTCATCTTAATAAGAGGCCACAAGGCTGACTCAGTTATTCAGACTATGACTATTTGCTCTAAGTGTTTTTGTGTATTATTCTCTGCCAAAACCTGGCACGTTTGTGCTGGTGCTGTTTGAGTCTCTCTAGATTTTTCTGTTGAGAGGAAAAGTTATTAAGATTCCTTAACATTGTCTAATGAGTAAATTTTATGAAACCTAGTAATCTAGGCTGTCTGTTCCAGGCAGAATTATGACACATTTATGGAGTAGGCAAGAGTCTCATTACACGTTTGTTATGAGTTTCCAAAAGTACTGAGTAGTCTTAATCTTATTTTGAAATATAATACATGACCCCATTTTTTTCCTGAGTAAATATAACAAAGATGAATGCTGTTTATTATGTGATTGAGGATTCATTTGCAGCTTTGTATTAAAAAATCTAAATTGTGTATTAGTAGGATGTGAATTTGCAGTGTTAGGCACCATTATGGAAATATGACTTCCAGATCCACCAGTATCATTCAGGATATTATCAGACTACACCTCAGAGAAAATTCTGTGAGTATAAATCAGATTTCTTAGACTTCTGTTTCCTTCTGAACCTTGATAGAGATTCACATGCAAGAGCCCATCTCCAAATGAAGGCTTGTCACACACTTCTCAGGTATGCCTGGCAGGAAACTTCTCATAACTTTGATGAAGATGACAGTCTTCCAAAGAAAATGGAAGAAGAGCTCTTTGAAAATGTGGAACCAGAGAAGAAATACAGGTAAAAAGTTGCAAGGGATTCCTGTTAGAGATTTCTACCTGGTCTTAGATTCACTCACTTTAGGGCAAAAATATTACTGAAGATTTACATTACTGTTAGTTGCTCTTTACATCAGCACACACATTTTTGTGTTTCTTGTGTTTTTGACTGAAGTATTTACAAGTACTGGTGGCAAGTACCTTCTCGCTTTAGCTGTGTAATGTAATATCTCGTTCACTGGTGTCTTTTCTATTAAAAGGTAAGCTCATCCATCTTTGCCTCCTGAGAACTTAGGAAAGAGCCTGTATATTAGTTGAATGAATGTGTAAATGAACTTATGAATAAGCATGTAAAATGCCTTGATGTCTTTAAGAAATTAGTAAAATGCAGTTTCTTCCTTTTTAACTTTATTTTTTACTCTGGTCAATGTGCAATGAAGTGACAGGAATCTATAGTACTTGGTATTATTCCATAATCTTTATACATTTACTTAATGTTATAGCAGTTTACATGAATTAAACTGTTTTGACACTTCAGCACTTAGCATTAGTCCATGCACACAGTAGAGACTTAATAGACATTTACAAATTAATTGCCAATGCATTGTGATTTTTAATAAGGTTTAATAAGTCTGCTTAATGCCTTAAGAGATATTTAAGTATGAGATTCCTTTGAATTAACTTATTAGCGTATCATTATTTTGGTTTATGATATTCTATGAGTTATTAGGGAAGATTCAAAAACTTGGAGAATGGGATTCTGTTTGCCAGGGACTCTGTAGATAGAGGATAGAAATGATCATGATTTGAACAGAACTCCTTTATTTCTCTCTGTTCTGATTCATTGCCCTGTTCCTACTCCTACCTCTTTTTCCCTTTAAATTATCTCAAGTGAATTTTTTCTTTGCTGATGAATTTCTCATGTTCTCTTAGATAAATATTTATTTCTAATATAAAATAAACTCAGAATTCTACTTTTTACATCAGCTTGACAGTGCAAAGCAAATAACATTGCTACTGTCCTGATGATAATGCTTCCCCATTATAAGTGAATTTGGTTCATGGCGGGTCTCTTGCCAACAGAACTTGCTATCTCCAGCACATCAGTGCACAGGACATTTTTCTGCCACTAATGGGATTTTCTTTATCTCAGCCATTCTCCAAAACAGAGTAAACTGCAGAAGGTGTGCCACCAGCAGTTTGAATACAGAGATGGGCAAATTATAAGCTATGCTTCTCCTCAGCTAGTCTTGGGAATGCAAGGCCCCAACCTGCATTCAGGCATGGAGGTTGTTTTGGTGGAGAAAAAAGCAGATGATAGTCATCAACACTGGAGGCACAAGGAAGACAGCAGGTAAACCCATTAGATTTGGGCCTCACTATATCAAAGGGTGAATAGGAGCCTAAGAGATCCAGCATGGTCCCCACAGACCAGGCAGGGGTATATTTGAGGACTTTGGATTTTCTATTTAATGTGGCCAATAATATTTTTAACCTACTCAAGGAAGAGAAAGATAGTGAAGTCAAATGTAAGTGCTCAGTAGTCTACACACAACTCATCCACTGCAGTTTCAGGTAAGAAACGTGAAATCTAGCCTACTAGGTTCATAGTTGTTTTTTTTGTTTTTGTTTTGTTTTTTTAAAGAAGATGTTGGGGGTAGGAGTTTATTAATTAATTTATTTATTTTTGCTGTGTTGGGTCTTCGTTTCTGTGCGAGGGCTTTCTCTAGTTGTGACAAGCGGGGGCCACTCTTCACCGTGGTGCACGGGCCTCTCATTATCGCAGCCTCTCTTGTTGCGGAGCACAGGCTCCAGATGTGCAGGCTCAGTAGTTGTGGCTCACGGGCCTAGTTGCTCCGCGGCATGTGGGATCCTCCCAAACCAGGGCTCGAACCCGTGTCCCCTGCATTAGCAGGCAGATTCTCAACCAGTACGACACCAAGGAAGCCCCAGGTTCATAGTTTTAATGGGCCATTGAGGTCAAGAGAGAGCTAGACTCTCATCTAACTTATTTGTGTGATTTGAAAACATCATAAAATCAAGTAAATTCTAAAAAGTCCCATTTTAAAAAATTTGCAGTAGTTTTCATTAACACAGTCTTCTGCACCGCCCCACATGCATGCCTTCCCTCCCTCCCCTACTTCCATCATATAATCAACTGATGTGGCTTCTACTCACACAGTGAAATCGAATTGAACTCTTACCCTAATCAGATAAATCAACCCAGTGCAATGGCTGGCCCTTGTTTGGATCTAGCTTGAAGCCCACCGCTGTCAAAAAGGTTAATTCTGAGACAATCAGAAGAAATTTAAAATAGTCTGGGTACCAGATGATATGAAGGAAGTCTTGTTAATTTTGTTGGGTGTCATAATGGTTTAATGGCTATGTTTAAAAAAAGTCCTGATCACTTGGATGTATATTGTAGTATTTACAGATAAAATTAAGAGAGATCTCAGCTTTGTTATAAAATATTCTAGCAAAGCAAAAATTTTTTAAATGGGGACACGGGGAGGGGATGAAACAGACATGGCAGAATGTTGATAACTGTTGTGTCTGTGGCTGTTTCTTATACATTTCTCTCTAGTTTTGTGCATGCTTGAAATTTCTTTAACAAGAGAGATGACAACTCCTTGGTTTTTAGATGGTTTGCTTCGAAGTCTACCATTAGTGTTATATGGTGGGGCTCCAGGGCCCTCTTCAGTCTCTTGAAATACTACAGAAAATGTGTTTGTGTATCTGTGTAATACTTTTTTTTTTTTTTTGGTACGCGGGCCTCTCACTGTTGTGGCCTCTCCCGTTGCGGAGCACAGGCTCCAGACGCACAGGCTCAGTGGCCATGGCTCTCGGGCCCAGCCGCTCCGCAGCATGTGGGATCTTCCCAGACCGGGGCACGAACCCGCGTCCCCTGCATCGGCAGGCGGACTCTCAACAGCTGCACCACCAGGGAAGCCCTGTGTAATACTTTTTTTTTCTTTCTCTGGGAAAGAGCTGTGAAGGTGTGTGATGCAAAAGGCTCAGGGGATCGCTGCTTTGAGAGAGACTGTATAATCTTCAGCAGGTGGCAGCAGAGGGCCCAGCATGGACAGGAAAGGAGCTAGCCTTCCTCTGCTCACTGTCTGAGATTCAGAGTTGCCCGCAAGGAACACATGCAGCCTTGTTTCAGAGACAGCTGAAAAGCCAACCTGTAGACAGACCTGGTGAATGTGTTCTTTTGCCCCATTTATCCTAGCTAAGCTGACTTTGCGACAGGGGAGCTAAGAAGCAGGCTTTTGGCCCTGCGAATGGTTTGCTTTGTGGAGCCAGAATTCATTCATTTAGCTGCAGAAGATTATCAAGGGCAGTGTTTTAGGTGCCGTTGCTTTAGCAAAGAACAAAACATAAAAATTCCTGCCCACAAAGCTAGTGCTACCCCACCTCTACATTTCTGGAATTTAGAGCTACATCTTACTGCCTTGGCTTTCTGTATTATAGTAGAGGTCCCGCTTGAGCCTAAGTTGGAATTCGAGCATGGCTGAAGGGCTATAGGGTGGACACACATGGGGACTGAGAGAAGTGACCCAAGGCACTAGACAGCCACTCTTGATAAATTTAACTCAGGAACACTTGGTCATCAGAATAGAGCACAAGTTCTGAGTCCCGCTCAGTGTCTGTACTGCTTTTGGTTTTCACCGTAAGTGCTGTGAGGAAATCAGGAGGACGGGAAGGCTGTTTAAGTAAAAACAAAGGGAAGCTCGCCTAAAACTCTAGGCACTCCCTCACTGCTTTGGAAAATCTAACCACATGTAACACCAAAGAGGGTGGTCTCTTCCGATTTCCTTCCACTTTCCAGAAGGCTCTGCAATGTTGTCGTATTGAGGCCTTCCCATGTCAAGCCGTAGAAGAGATGGACAATTGGAGGGAGATTGTGGTATTGACTGATCGCTGGCTGGAAACTGCAGGGTCCGGAGAGAAGAGGTGGAGCCGTGAGGGGGAGGGGCAGTGGGACAGGGTTCGCTCCTGAACACATGGATCACCCTCTAGGGACTCCCACAGACACTTGGGCAGGAGAGGTTTTGCAGAAGTCTTGATGATTAGATGTGGGCATTATTCAGAGGAACGTATGTCCCACGGCAGAAATGTCTGTATAGTGACAGTAATTCTGAGCTTTCTTCTGCATTTTCCCTTGACATTTTTCTTTTTCTTTTTCGTGTAATTGGGTGTTGAAACCCATTTGTTCTGATAAGCTGGTGAGGCCTGGAGAACCTTGGGTTACACTACGTAGCAGAAACCTGTAGAAAATTCCTTTTATGTGAACCATAGTCTTTTGATCTTCCGTATTTTTCCCAGGCAGTAAATTAGCATTTATTGAGGCAACTGCCCAATCAGAATTTGTGTCAATAGAGCAGAAGCCCAGTAGCTCACTGCCAGCATGACGGGAGGAGCCAAGTGCTGTCACTGTGCCTAGAATTTTCTACCATTAGTCCTTTCATTCAGTCCTTTGGGTCTTGAATTACTTTTTCATTTTGGCCTTCTATTTAAAATAGAGAATAACTAGGAAATCTGATATCTTAAGCAATTATCAGCAAAACCTCTTAAGGGAAAGTTTGACTATGAGAACAAGGCCTAGCTGGGAGAGCACAAGGTCTAGGAGAGTAGTATAAGAAAGTAGTATAAGAGCAAGGGGGCACTGACGGGCAGTAGGAGCTTACCAAAGACACACTTACTTGGTTTCTAGCCACACAGAAAAATGGTCCAGGTCAACTTTTGAGATAAACTGGTATCTTTCTCCTATTTTCAACCCTGGCACAATCTGAATTAATCATTTGGTCTCAAAAGGGAAATATGTAAAAAATGCTCAGGGAAAAAAATCCCCTTCAACAAGATTCAAAATTATAAAATCCCCTTCAACAAGATTCAAAATTATAAAAATTATAAAAATTATAAAAGGGAAAATACAGTGTCATGGAATTCAGAGGTGAAAGAGATTTTGAAATTTTTCGAGTCTTAGTCACCTGATTCTAAAGCTAGGTAAACTGAGGCTCAAGGAGATGAAGTGACTTGTATGCACTCGCACTGTGGTTTAGTAGAAGAGGCTGTGCTGTCGTGCTGGGATATTTCTGGGGCACAGAGTCAGTTCTCACACTGCCGTTTGGCACGTAGTGGGCTTTATGTAGAAGTCTAAAAGCTCAGGCTTCCTGCAGAATGTAAGCACTCCTGCGATGGGCAAGTGACAATTGACAGTCCAAAAAGGAAAAGAAAAGTCAGCACTATCATGGCTGAGCATGGCACTGAAGCATGGGAGCAGTTGCTACATCTATTCTAGGCAGCAAAAACAGAGAAAGCTAGGCAACTAATCTAGGCACCTCAGTAAGTTGTTGCAGGAAATATACAATCATTCATTCATCTGACTACTACTGAGTGACAGTAAAAATGCAAGATGCAAACCATGCCACATGCTGAGGCTACGGAGATGAACAATATTGAATACCAGCTCTCGTGCTGCACATAGACTTGATAAATGCTAACAAGGTATTTGATAAAATTGAATACGCACTTTGGATTTAAACTGACACTTCGTTAACTAACACTAGAAGGAAGAAACACATTGTAAGATTAATAGTGATTGTCTTAGGAATATAAATGATGTTTCAAATTCTGTTTTAATTTTTACTATATTTTCTAGTATTTTGTAAATGCTTTACAATGAGGATATTTTGTTTTATGTTCAGAGATTTAAATTAGATATCTAGAATTTTTGTCTTGAAAGGAAAAATACGTTACTCTTATCACAGATCTCCCCCACCCCCTCTTTCTCCCCTTTCCTTCACTCCCACATCATTAAGTTTTATATTCAGGACTAGTTATGTTTTCCACAGCAGAAATGCCACTGCTGGTCTGTAATGTAACTATGTTGACAGACATAAAGAACTGGCTTTTTCTATGCAGACAGTATCCTTGAATGTTTGGTCTATTCTTGCTTTTAAGTGATGTATGGGAAAGAACTTGGGGGTTTTAGCTCTGTACTTTGCTTTCTTTGTTTTCAGTCAAGAAGGCTTTATTTTAGTTCCAATATAAGATAACTTAAAAATATTCAATATATATCTTGGACTTTTAGGGAATACTCATTTAGAAAAGAAGAATTTGAGGGAAAGCTATAAAAAAAATCACAACAATCGATAATAGTAGCTCATACTAAGTGCCACGAGCCAGACAATATTCAATGCATTTTTTTATGCATTAGCTCATTATATTCTCAGGACGAAAGTCCTGTGCGGTATGCACCATTATCCTATTTTACAAATGAGGAAACTGAGGCTTAGAGTTGTTAAGCAGGTCTTGAGACATACTCAAAATTTAAACTCAGGCATTGTGGCTCCAGAATCCATGCCCCTAATCAGTCTGCCACATTGCCTCTCACAACAGCAAAACAGGTGAGGAGAGTGTCTGGGTACAATCTGGAGACAGAAAACAGACAGTCATTTAAACAAGGGATGTTTAACATAAAGAATTATTAAGCTATGCTAAACGAGTAACTATCAGATTTTTTTTAAAAAAAAAACCTCTATACGGTACTGTAGGGCTGAGGGGGTTGAGGACAAACTTGGGATTGGGTCCCTTCCCTAAGGCTGGAGTTCAGAGCTCATTGGAAGAAGTATGGGTGCTGTCCACTGGAGGGCAGGGAAATGTGTTGGTTTGCGTGGCCACATCTGTTCTGTGGTTGCTGGGCAAGCAGAAAGTAACCCTCTGGAACTTACGTGCGTGTGCAGCTATTGCTGGGCACGTGGAGATGCAAAGGTATGGGGTTGCTGGTACAGCAGAAGGTCTGGAGCACGTGGTGTCCATGTTGGGAGGGCCATAAGCAGTTGATCACCAGGCCAGGCCTGGGCTGTGAGGGTATTAAAGGACCACATGCATTCCGGGCACGTGGCTGGGACAGAGCATCCCTGGACACCCTCACTCCCAAACACTGACCCCAGGCAGCAGCCAGAAAGAACAGGAGTGCCCCCTTTCTCCTTCAGTGTTATTCCAGCACTCTGCACTGAGGAAACTCAACATCGTGCTTATGGTGGGGGAGAAATGCCCAAAGGATTTCACATCCATTAGCGCAGAGTATGTATGGAGACAAGAGGCAACACACAGATAAGGGGCACAGAGGGAGCTCTAAATTGGTCACGCTGCTTTGTAATGGGCCTAATCCTGTTTTCCCAAGGACCTTTCACCTGGTGAGTAACCCAGACCTGGTACTGGCAGTGTCTATGACCAAGGCTGGAGATGAAGTCTGTGGCTATCCGGTTATTGCTCAGGTAAGATATGTAGAGGCTAAAGAGTAATTATAGCGCTTTATTTAGTTAAATTTAAGGAAAGTTCCATGCTTCCTTGTTGTGGAGAAAGAAAATGGCTGTCACAGAACCTATCTTGAATGCCATTGTTAAAATATTTACAATAGTCTGCCTAGATTTCAAATTGAACATGTTCCTGTAGCTCTGAATTTAGTTTAATCCAACAGATGGTGATTGTGGGCTTGCTGCATGTCAGGAGCTATGCTAGTTACTTAAATCAAATCCAATGGCAAGCGTGAGAAATCATCCCAATAGCATTCATAGCGTCTCAGTGGTGGGTGCAGTCAGGTGAATGGCTGTTAGATGCGTGCATTTTAATTTCAATGATTTGAGACATAAGCAAGTCCCCTCTCACCTGGCAACGGGTGGGAAAGACCGTGGTCAGAGGAGTCTTTCTGGAGGGTGTGAGCTCTTCAATGCAAATTCTACTGAGACTCATTTGAAATATACTTTCAACATACTTTTGTAAATGCTTATAGCAGCCAAACAATTTTTGGAGACTCCAGAGAAGGCTGGCTTCATTTGAATTTTGGGTAAAGACCTATGGGGTTGGTTTTTTCTTTCCCACTTTTGTCTGTTATCCTTACTTACCAAAGACACTCCTAGACGGGTATATATTTTTCCTTGTTAGGAGGAGAAAAAGTTTAGGAGTGTCCCTGCTCTGCATTTACTTTCTGTATCCTCCACAGTATTTGCCATCTTTGTGTTGAACAGAATATACTGTCTCCATATAACATTTGTTTTATTCCATATTTTAATAACAGTGAGGCAACTTGTTTTGCAGGTCCTGAATCCAAAATTGGGATATAGCAATCTGGACAAATACCAAAGCTTAATTAAGTCTTTTATCCTGATTATAAATATGGGCTAAAATTTTATTCTAGGAGACACAGTACATATAGCATCAAATTTTTCCCTGTCAGGTGCCTCTTTGGCACGGACCACAGTGAGATAAAACCTTATGCAGCCGCAAATTTTGTACCTTAATCTGTTCCATAAAATTATAGATATGGATGTTTTCCCCTAAGGTTCCCATTTTATAAGAAATGAGTTTGATCCCAAACTTATTTGTATTACCTTTCAAGAGTTTTTTCTTTGCTTGGTGTTTCATTTTTATTTCTTGAAGCAATCAGTTTGTGAGAATATATTAAAGTTCATGTAAAATAATAAAAATGAGACATGTTAAGTTAATGTTACTAAACCCCCTCCCTTGAAATATAATCTTTGTTTTCCATACCTCTGAGGGATGCTTATTAAACCAATTCCTGAGATCATTTATTTTCCTCTTCACTATCAATCTCTCCTTGGTAAAGTAGGTGTTATTCATTATAAAGTTCCTTGAGGTGTCATGATATGTTTAGTTGGAACTAATCTAGTGGTTTAAATTCCTTGAAATTGAAGCTACTCATTTTTTTAACTTATGCTCAAACCAAGTTTTATAATTACAATAAAGATGCTGTTTCTAATACATAAAATTGAGTGTACTCACATTTTTTTAAAAAACCTTCTTGATAACCAGTGAAATGTAAATTAAAATACCAACAAGGTACTATTTTTCATTCATTAAATTGATGATGCTTTGGCAAGAATGTGAGGAAAAGAGGCCATTTCGTATAATATTGGTGGAAGGGTAAACTAGAGTAACATTTCTAGAAAGCACTTGATACAATAAAGCTTTATATTATACATCATAATTTTTTTAATGATCCTGTTCCATTTTTTTTTGAATTTTACTTTATTTTTTTATACAGCAGGTCCTTATTAGTCATCAATTTTATCCACATCAGTGTATACATGTCAACCCCAACTGCCCAATTCATAACACCACCACCACCATCAACCCCCCACGGCTTTCCCCTCTCGGTGTCCATACGTTTGTTCTCTACATCTGTGTCTCTATTTCTGCCCTGCAAACCGGTTCATCTGTACCGTTTTTCTAGGTTCCACATATATGCATTAATATATGATATTTGTTTTTCTCTTTCTAACTTACTTCACTCTGTATGACAGTCACTAGATCCATCCACATCTCAACAAATGACCCAATTTCGTTCCTTTTTATGGCTGAGTAATGTTCCATTGTATATATGTACCACATCAGCTTTATCCATTCATCTGTCGATGGGCATTTAGGTTGCTTCCATGACCTGGCTATTGTAAATAGTGCTGCAGTGAACATTGGGGTGCGTGTGTCTTTTTGAATTATGGTTTTCTCAGGGTATATGCCCAGTAGTGGGATTGCTGGGTTGTATGGTAGTTCTATTTTTAGTTTTTTAAGGAAGCTCCATCCTGTTCTCCATAGTGGCTGTATCAATTTACATTCCCACCAACAGTGCAGGAGGGTTCCCTTTTCTCCACACCCTCTCCAGCATTTGTTGTTTGTAGATTTTCTCATGATGCCCATTCTAACTGGTATGAGGTGATACCTCATTGTAGTTTGATTTGCATTTCTCTAAAAAGTAGGGATGTTGAGCAGCTTTTCATGTGCTTCTTGGCCATCTGTATGTCTTCTTTGGAGAAATGTCTATTTAGGTCTTCTGCCCATTTTTGGACTAGGTTGTTTGTTTTTTGAATATTGAGCTGCATGAGCTGTTTACAGATTTTGGAGATAAATCCTTTTTATGTTGATTCGTTTGCAAATATTTTCTCCCAATGTGAGGGTTGTCTTTTCGTCTTGTTTTTGGTTTTCTTTGCTATGCAAAAGCTTTTAAGTTTCATTAGGTCCCATTTGTTTATTTTTGTTTTTATTTCCATTACTCTAGGAGGTGGATCAAAAAAGATCTTGCTGTGATTTATCTCAAAGAGTGTTCTTCCTAGGTTTTCCTCTAAGGGTTTTATAGTGTCTGGTCTTACATTTAGGTCTTTAATCCATTTTGAGTTTGTTTTTGTGTTTGGTGTTAGGGAGTGATCTAATTTCATTCTTTTACATGTAGCTGTCCAGTTTTCCCAGCAACACTTATTGAAGAGACTGTCTTTTCTCCATTGTATATCCTTGCCTCCTTTGTCATAGATTAGTTGACCATAGGTGCATGGGTTTATCTCTGGGCTTTCTATCTTGTTCCATTGATCTATCTTTCTGTTTGTATGCCAGTACCATATTGTCTTAATTACTGTAGCTTTGTAGTATAGTCTGAAGTCAGGGAGTCCAATTCCTCCAGCTCCATTTTTTTCCCTTAAAATTGCTTTGGCTATTCAGGGTCTTCAGTGTCTCCATATAAATTTTAAGATTTTTTGTTCTAGTTCTGTAAAAAATGCCATTGGTAATTTGATAGGGATTGCATTGAATCTGTAGATTGCTTTGGGTAGTATAGTCATTTTCACAATATTGATTCTTCCAATCCAAGAACATGGTATATCTCTCCATCTGTTGGTATCATCTTTAATTTCTTTCATCAGTATCTTATAGTTTTCTGCATACAGGTCTTTTGTCTCCCTAGGTAGGTTTCTTCCTAGGTATTTTATTCTTTTGGTTGCAGTGGTAAATGGGAGTGTTTACTTAATCTCTCTTTCAGATTTTTCATCATTAGTGTATAATGCAAGAGATTCCTGGCATTAATTTTGTATCCTGCAACTTTACCAAGATCGTTGATTAGCTCTAGTAGTTTTCTGGTGGCATCTTTAGGATTCTGTATGTATAGTATCATGTCATCTGCAAAGAGTGACAGTTTTACTTCTTCTTTTCCAATTTGTATTCCTTTTATAAATTTATTTATTTAGTTAGTTTTGGCTGTGTTGGGTCTTCATTGCTGCGTGCGAGTTTTCTCTAGTTGCGGCAGGCGGGGGGTACTTTTCATTGTGGTGCACAGGCTTCTCATTGCAGTGGCTTCTCTTGTTGCGGAGCATGGGCTCTAGGCATGTGGGCTTCAGTAGTTATGGTGCACGGGTTTCAGTAGTTGTGGCACACAGGCTTAGTTGCTCCGTGGCATGTGGGATCTTCCCGGACCAGGACTCAAACCCGGGTCCCCTGCATTGGCAGGCAGGTTCTTAACCACTGAGCCACCAGGGAAGTCCTGTATTCCTTTTATTTCTTTCTCTTCTCTGATTGCCGTGGCTAGGACTTCCAAAACTGTGTTGAATAATAGTGGTGTGAGTGGACATCCTTGTCTTGTTCCTGATCTTAGAGGAAATGCTTTCAGTTTTTCACCATTGAGAATGATGTTTGCTGTGGGTTTGTCGTATATGGCCTTTGTTATGTTGAGGTAGGTTCCCTCTATGCCCACTTTCTGGAGAGTTTTTATCATAAATGGGTGTTGAATTTTGTCAAAAGCTTTTTCTGCATCTATTGAGATGATCATATGGTTTTTCTCCTTCAGTTTGTTAATATGGTGTATCACATTGATTGATTTGCATATATTGAAGAATCCTTGCGTCCCTGGGATAAATCCCACTTGATCATGGTGTATGATCCTTTTAATGTATTGTTGGATTCTGTTTGCTAGTATTTTGTTGAGGATTTTTGCATCTATATTCATCAGTGATATTGGTCTGTAATTTTCTTTTTTTGTGACATCTTTGTCTGGTTTTGGTATCAGGGTGATGGTGGCCTCATAGAATGAGTTTGGGAGTATTCCTTCCTCTGCAGTTTTTTGGAAGAGTTTGAGAAGGATGGGTGTCAGCTCTTCTCTAAATGTTTGATAGAATTCATCTGTGAAGCCGTCTGGTCCTAGGCTTTTGTTTGTTGGAAGATTTTTAATCACAGTTTCTATTTCATTACATGTGATTGGTCTGTTCATATTTTCTATTTCTTCCTCATTCAGTCTTGGAAGCTTATATCTTTCTAAGAATTTTTCCATTTCTTCCAGGTTGTCCATTTATTGGCAAAGAGTTGTTTGTAGTAGTCTCTTAGGATGCCTTGTATTTCTGTGGTGTCTGTTGTAACTTCTTTTTCATTTTTCATTTTATTGATTTGAGTCCTCTCCCTCTTTTTCTTGATGAGTCTGGCTAATGGTTCCTCAATTTTGTTTATCTTCTCAAAGAACCAGCTTTTAGTGTTATTGATCATTGCTATTATTTTCTTTGTTTCTATTTCATTTATTTCTGCTCTGATCTTTATGATTTCTTTCCTTGTGCTAACTTTGGGTTTTGTTTGTTCTTCTTTCTCTAGTTCCTTTATGTGTAAGGTTAGTTTGTTTATTTGAGATTTTTCTTGTTTTTTGAGGTAGGCTTTTATAGCTATAAACTTCCCTCTTATAACTGCTTTTGCTGCATCCCATAGGTTTTGGATCATCATGTTTTCATTGTCATTTTTCTCTAGGTATTTTTTGATTTCCTCTTTGATTTCTTCAGTGGTCTCTTGGTTATTTAGTTACATATTGTTTAGCCTCCATGTGTTTGTGTTTTTTCCGTTTTTTTCCCTGTAATTCATTTCTAATCTCATAGAGTTGTGGTCAAAAAACATGCTTGATATGACTTGAATTTTCTTAAATTTACTGTGGCTTGATTTGTGACCCAAGATGGATCTTTCCTGGGGAATGTTCCGTGCTCACTTGAGAAGAAAGTGTAATCTGCTGTTTTTGGATGGAATGTCCTATAAATATCAATTAAATCTATCTGGTCTGTTGTGTCATTTAAAGCTTCTGTGTCCTTATTTATTTTCATTTTGGATGATCTGCCCAGTGGTGTAAGTGAGGTGTTAAAGTCCCCCTCTATTATTGTGTCACTGTCGATTTCCTCTTTTAGAGCTGTTAGCAGTTGCCTTATGTATTGAGGTGCTCCTATGTTGGATGCATATATATTTATAATTGTTATATCTTCTTGGACTGATCCCTTGATCATTATGTAGTGTCCTTCCTTGTCTCTTGTAACATTCTTTATTTTAAAGTCTATTTTATCTGATTTGAGTATTGCTACTCCAGCTTTCTTTTGATTTCCATTTGCATGGAATATCTTTTTCCATCCCCTCACTTTCAGTCTGTATGTGTCCCTAGGTCTGAAGTGGGTCTCTTGTAGACAGCATATAGATGGGTCTTGTTTTTGTATCCATACAGCAAGCCTGTGTCTTTTGGTTGGAGCATTTAATCCATTCACGTTTAAGGTAACTATTGATATGTATGTTCCTATGACCATTTTCATAATTGTTTTGGGTTTCTTTTTGTAGGTCCTTTTCTTCTCTTGTGTTTCCCACTTAGAGAAGTTCCTTTAGCATTTGTTGTAGGGCTGGTTTGGTGGTGCTGAATTCTCTTAGCTTTTGCTTGTCTGTAAAGCTTTTGATTTCTCCATCGAATCTGAATGAGATCCTTGCCAGGTAGAGTAATCTTGGTTGTAGGTTCTTCCCTTTCATCACTTTAAGTATATCATGCCACTCCCTTCTGGCTTGTAGAGTTTCTGCTGAATTAACCCTTGGGGGTTCCTTGTGTGTTATTTGTTGTTTTTCCCTTGCTGCCTTTAATATGTTTTCTTTGTATTTAATTTTTGACAGTTTGATTAATATGTGTCTTGGCATGTTTCTCCTTGGATTTATCCTGTATGGGACTCTCTGTGCTTCCTGGACTTGGTTGACTATTTCCTTTCCCATATTAGGGAAGTTTTCAACTATAATCTCTTCAAATATTTTCTCGGGTTCTTTCTCTCTCTCTTCTCCTTCTGGGACCCCTATAATGTGAATGTTGTTGCGTTTAATGTTGTCCCAGAGGTCTCTTAGGCTGTCTTCACTTCTTTTCATTCTTTTTTCTTTATTCTGTTCCACAGCAGTGAATTCCACCATTCTGTCTTCCATGTCACTTATCTGTTCTTCTGCCTCAGTTATTCTGCTTTTGATCCCTTCTTGTATAGTTTTCATTTCAGTTATTGTATTGTCCATCTCTGTTTGTTTGTTCTTTAATTCTTCTAGGTCTTTGTTAAACATTTCTTGCATTTTCTTGATCTTTGCCTCCATTGTTTTCCCGAGGTCCTGAATCATCTTCACTATCATTATTCTGAGTTCTTTTTCTGGAAGGTTGCCTATCTCCACTTCATTTTGTTGTTTTTCTGGGGTTTTATCTTGTTCCTTCATCTGGTACATAGCCCTCTGTCTTTTCATCTTATCTATCTTTCTGTGAATGTGGTTTTTATTCCACAGGCTGCAGGATTGTAGTACTTCTTGCTCCTGCTGTCTGCCCTCTGGTGGATGAGGCTATCTAAGAGGCTTGTGCAAGTTTCCTGATGGGAGGGTCATCCTGTTCCTTTATTAGCAATTCTACTTGAGTTTGTTCTCAAGAAGTTATGGATTTACACAAACGTTTATTTTATGATTGTTGATTGCTCTTTTGCTTATACTAAGGAAAATCTGAGAAACAATCTACATGTTTAAGTATTGGATATTGGTAAAATAAAATACCTTAAGATCAAATAGTATATATCCTTTAAAAAAAAACAAAACAAGCAAAACTAATGCCGTTACCAAATTGTGTGCATTTTGTGATTACATTTTTGTAAATCCAAGAATTCATATATATATGTATAATCATCAAATACCAATAGTAGTTATCACTACATAGTAGAGTTTTGAGTAATTATCTGTACTTTCTGACTTTATGCAGTGAAAACTAGGACTGCTATAAACAAATCATAACCTCTCCTATTTGACTCCATATTTTGTCTCATTTTTTTCAGAAATACAAACCACATAACAATGGGACTTCTAATCAAAAGTGGAATTACATGACAAATATGAAAGCTTTTATGGCCTTTCATAGCACTACACTGGATAAGGAAGTCACAGCAGCAAATTATGCTGGTATTTGTACATCCTCTGTGATTAAAGAAAAACACATTGATCAACCAGTAAGTGGTTCCTTCCTACTGAGGACAAAAAAGAGGGGTGGGAGAATGGATAAGTTTAATAAAGCAAGAAACTTTTTTCCAGAAAACCTTAAGTTCACACAAATTAAACACTGACTTGTGAGTGAAATCATTTAGACTCTGTGATTCTGGTTAGGAAAGAATGAAGGAATATTGATATTACCCTCTTCTTATATTGTTTTGATGGCTCCCTATCACCATCACCATCTCTGGTTCATCATCGGCTCACCAGAACAGGCATGAAGCAGGATAATCACACATACTTCACTCCCACAGGTGTGCTTGCCACACTCGATGTCACTCCACTCCAGAAAGCATATTAAAATGCCAATGATTGTAAGTTGCTTTATATTACATTATACCAAGCATAGGGCTAAGTATGATATACTCTAATTAAAAAAAAATAATTTCTCAAGTTTGGTCCTTTAATTTTTATTTGTAAGGAATTATTTGCACCATACTTTACAGATACCTGAGATATTTGTGGGTCAGTGGATCAAGGCACCTTGCTATTGTTGATAACCATTGGCCTACAGAAAACTGAAATCTCATAATGTACGCACATTACAAGACTGCCCAAGACCCTCTTTACTGTTCCCCTCAGTCGTCTCTAAACCACTGCTGCTTCTTCACTTGTCATTCCATGGCTCTACTGAATAAGAGATGTCAAATGTCCCATACCATTCTGCATGTCTCTGGTTTCAACTATGCTATCCCCCCTGACCTCTTCTCCTTTGTCTGTGATTTCATACCTGTTAGGCAATATGCTGCCAAAGACTGCTGAAGTCATCTTAAAAAGAATCGAGTCAACTTGAAAAGGCTCCAAAGATGAGACAATTTAAGCATCAATATGACTGTTGAATGCAGTGGATTGACATACATTAGATATGTTTAAATCCATATGTTCATAGAGATATTAAACAACAGCAACAACAACTCAATTTGTCACAATTAGATGATGCTAAGGAACGAATTTGTTACTTTGAAAACCAGTAAATAAAGAATCAAGCATTTATTTTTCCCTTCCTTTATGAACCATACCTCAAGATAACAAAACAGTTGACAAGAATAAGCTTCACTTCGTAGAAATACCCCAGCTAATACATGAGTAAAGTATGAGGAAATCAGAATATCATTATACTGTGAACTTTAATAAATTAATGGATCTAGGCAATGATCATCAGTAGCTACTAACATAACAAAAAGAGACAAAAGAGTTGCTCCTTGATAGAAATACATTGTACCATTTATGATGGGGTCTTGCCACCCCACCCCCCCCAAATCTAACTGGAGAAAAAGTACAACGAATAATTACAACAAAAGAAAAAAGAAAAAGAAATAAGGACTGTGAAGATTCAGAGAGACTTAGAGGTATTTAAACTAATTATAAGGTATTGGCCTTATTGTGATTCTCTTTCAAATAAATTGTGAGGGAGTGAGAGAATTGTAGAAATTTGAATACTGACTGAATATTTGATTATATTAGAGTATTATTATTATTAATTTTAGGTATGATGTTATAGTTATGATAAAAGAGTTCTTATTTGAAATTTGGGAAGGATAAAACTTCCCAATTTTCAACAATATTTCTTCTAAAAGATTATAACTTTCCTACTAGTTAAACGATAACCTGTCTGATAGAAATTAATATGGTTAATCTGAAGAGTATAATAATATAGCAATTCTGGGATTCACAAATTTAAAAAAATGCTTGTCTCTCTTGGGCCTGGGAAAACCAACTCTCTACACAAAGGCTCTAAATCAGTAATTAATTCTTAACCTTTTCAGAGATGCAGACCTTGTTGAGAGACTTGTGAAAATTATGGACATTCCTTCCCCGCAAAATGCACATGAGTACACAGCACTTTTCGTATAAAATCTTAGGGAGTTTGTAGACTCCCCTTGAAATCCAATTTGGACATAGGGTAAGAACTTCTTCCCTAGGCCACATTTGCTTGGCAAGCTTAGAAAAGAAAACTAATGCGAAGTAACTATTATATGCTACAAAGCTACTGTATGTTAGATACTGATGCAATATTAGTTATTTTTACATAGATTATCTTATAATAAATAATATAACATAAATAATAAATATAAAAAATATCAATAATTCATTAAATTAAGATTGATGAAGAAACTGAATAATTTATTCATAGTCACACTAGCTATCATATATACAGTAAGTGTCATTGTTGATCAAACAAACTCCATGTTATAGACCATATTTCTGTAAGGTCAAATGAACAGAGCAAGTTAGTCATTTCAATAAATCAAGGAAATTTTATAGAGGAAAATAATCAGTCAAACCAATTGCTTGGTATTCTGTGTATAGAGCCAGCAGCTGACTTGCTGAACTTTTAAACTCTGTTTGCATTCTGTAGACATAGCCTAACCTAGGGAGCTACCCCAGTGTATTGTGTTTTCCTTGCCAGCTGCAGTTTATTTTATTTATTTATTTATTTTTATTTTTTTAACATCTTTATTGGAGTATAATTGCTTTACAATGGTGTGTTATTTTCTGCTTTACAACAAAATGAATCAGTTATATATACACGTATGTTCCCATATCTCTTACCTCTTGCGTCTCCCTCCCTCCCACACTCCATATTCCACCCCTCCAGGCAGTCACAAAGCACCGAGCTGATCTCCCTGTGCTATGCGGCTGCTTCCCCCTATCTACCTTACGTTTGGTAGTGTATATATGTCCATGCCTCTCTCTCGCTTTGTCACACCTTACCCTCCCCCCTCCCATATCCTCAAGTCCATTCTCTAGTAGGTCTGTGTCTTTATTCCTGTCTTACCCCTAGGTTCTTCATGACATTTTTTTTTCTTAAATTCCATATATATGTGTTAGCATACGGTATTTGTCTCTCTCTTTCTGACTTACTTCACTCTGTATGACAGACTCTAGGTCTATCCACCTCATTACAAATAGCTCAATTTCATTCTTTTTATGGCTGAGTTATATTCCATTGTATATATGTGCCACATCTTCTTTATCCATTCATCCGATGATGGGCACTTAGGTTGTTTCCATCTCCGGGCTACTGTAAATAGAGCTGCAATGAACATTTTGGTACATGACTCTTTTTGAATTATGGTTTTCTCAGGGTATATGCCCAGTAGTAGGATTGCTGGGTCATATGGTACTTCTATTTGTAGTTTTTTAAGAAACCCCCATACTGTTCTCCACAGTGGCTCTATCAATTTACATTCCCACCAACAGTGCAAGAGGGTTCCTTTTTCTCCACACCTTCTCCAGCATTTATTGTTTCTAGATTTTTTTTTAACATCTTTATTGGGGTACAATTGCTTTACAATGATGTGTTAGTTTCTGCTTTATAACAAAGTAAATCAGTTATACATATACATGTGTTCCCATACCTCTTCCCTCTTGCGTCTCCCTCCCTCCCACACTCCTTATTCCACCCCTCCAGGTAGTCACAAAGCACCGAGCCGATATCCCTGTGCCATGCGGCTGCTTCCCACTAGCTATCTACCTTACGTTTGTTAGTGTATATATGTCCATGCCTCTCTCTCGCCCTGTCACAGCTCACCCGTTCCCCTCCCCATATCCTCAAGTCCGTTCTCCAGTAGGTCTGTGTCTTTATTCCTGTCTTACCCCTAGGTTCTTCATGACATTTTTTTTTCTTAAATTCCATATATATGTGTTAGCATACGGTATTTGTCTTTCTCTTTCTGACTTACTTCACTCTGTATGACAGACTCTAGGTCTATCCACCTCATTACAAATAGCTCAATTTCGTTTCTTTTTATGGCTGAGTAATATTCCATTGTATATATGTGCCACATCTTCTTTATCCATTCATCCGATGATGGGCACTTAGGTTGTTTCCATCTCCGGGCTATTGTAAATAGAGCTGCAATGAACATTTTGGTACATGACTCTTTTTGAATTATGGTTTTCTCAGGGTATATGCCCAGTAGTGGGATTGCTGGGTCATATGGTAGTTCTATTTGTAGTTTTTTAAGGAACCTCCATACTGTTCTCCATAGTGGCTGTACCAATTCACATTCCCACCAGCAGTGCAAGAGTGTTCCCTTTTCTCCACACCCTCTCCAGCATTTATTGTTTCTAGATTTTTTGATGATGGCCATTCTGACTGGTGTGAGATGATATCTCATTGTAGTTTTGATTTGCATTTCTCTAATGATTAATGATGTTGAGCATTCTTTCATGTGTTTGTTGGCAGTCTGTATATCTTCTTTGGAGAAATGTCTATTTAGGTCTTCTGCCCATTTTTGGATTGGGTTGTTTATTTTTTTGTTATTGAGCTGCATGAGCTGCCTGTAAATTTTAGAGATTAATCCTTTGTCAGTTGATTCATTTGCAAATATTTTCTCCCATTCTGAGGGCTGTCTTTTGGTCTTGTTTATGGTTTCCTTTGCTGTGCAAAAGCTTTGAAGTTTCATTAGGTCCCATTTGTTTATTTTTGTTTTTATCTCCATTACTCTAGGAGATGGGTCAAGAAGGATCTTGCTGTGATTTATGTCATAGAGTGTTCTGCCTATGTTTTCCTCTAAGAGTTTGATAGTTTCTGGCCTTACATTTAGGTCTTTAATCCATTTTGAGCTTATTTTTGTGTATGGTGTTAGGGAGTGATCTAATCTCATACTTTTACATGTACCCTGTCCAGTTTCCCAGCACCACTTATTGAAGAGGCTGTCCTTTCTCCACTGTACATTCCTGCCTCCTTTATCAAAGATAAGGTGACCATATGTGCATGGGTTTACATCTGGGCTTTCTATCCTGTTCCATTGATTTATCTTTCTGTTTTTGTGCCAGTACCATAGTGTCTTGATTACTGTAGCTTTGTAGTATAGTCTGAAGTCAGGCAGCCTGATTCCTCCAGCTCCATTTTTTGTTCTCAAGATTGCTTTGGCTATTCGGGGTCTTTTGTGTTTCCATACAAATTGTGAAATTTTTTGTTCTAGTTCTGTGAAAAATGCCAGTGGTAGTTTGATAGGGATTGCATTGAATCTATAGATTGCTTTGGGAAGTAGAGTCATTTTCACAATGTTGATTCTTCCAATCCAAGAACATGGTATATCTCTCCATCTGTTTGTATCATCTTTAATTTCTTTCATCAGTGTCTTATAATTTTCTGCATACAGGTCTTTTGTCTCCTTAGGTAGGTTTATTCCTAGATATTTTATTCTTTTTGTTGCAATGGTAAATGGGAGTGTTTTCTTGATTTCACTTTCAGATTTTTCATCATTAGTATATAGGAATGCCAGAGATTTCTGTGCATTAATTTTGTATCCTGCTACTTTACCAAATTCATTGATTAGCTCTAGTAGTTTTCTGGTAGCATCTTTAGGATTCTCTATGTAGAGTATCATGTCATCTGCAAACAGTGACAGCTTTACTTCTTCTTTTCCGATTTGGATTCCTTTTATTTCCTTTTCTTCTCTGATTGCTGTGGCTAAAACTTCCAAAACTATGTTGAATAAGAGTGGTGAGAGTGGGCAACCTTGTCTTGTTCCTGACCTTAGTGGAAATGCTTTCAGTTTTTCGCCATTGAGGATGATGTTGGCTGTGGGCTTGTCATATACGGCCTTTATTATATTGAGGAAAGTTCCCTCTACACCTACTTTCTGCAGGGTTTTTATCATAAATGGGTGTTGAATTTTGTCAAAAGCTTTCTCTGCATCTATTGAGATGATCATATGGTTTTTCTCCTTCAATTTGTTAATATGGTTAATCACATTGATAGATTTGCGTATATTGAAGAATCCTTGCATTCCTGGAATAAACCCCACTTGATCATGGTGTATGATCCTTTTAATGTGCTGTTGGATTCTGTTTGCTAGTATTTTGTTGAGGATTTTTGCATCTATGTTCATCAGTGATATTGGCCTGTAGTTTTCTTTCTTTGTGACATCCTTGTCTGGTTTTGGTATCAAGGTGATGGTGGCCTCGTAGAATGAGTTTGGGAGTGTTCCTCCCTCTGCTATATTTTGGAAGAGTTTGAGAAGAATAGGTGTTAGCTCTTCTCTAAATGTTTGATAGAATTCGCCTGTGAAGCCATCTGGTCCTGGGCTTTTGTTTGTTGGAAGATTTTTAATCACAGTTTCAATTTCAGTGCTTGTGATTGGTCTGTTCATATTTTCTATTTCTTCCTGATTCAGTCTTGGCAGTTTGTGCATTTCTAAGAATTTGTCCATTTCTTCCAGGTTGTCCATTTTATTGGCATAGAGTTGCTTGTAGTAATCTCTCATGATCCTTTGTATTTCTGCAGTGTCAGTTGTTACTTCTCCTTTTTCATTTCTGATTCTATTGATTTGAGTCTTCTCCCTTTTCTTCTTGATGAGTCTGGCTAATGGTTTATCAATTTTGTTTATCTTCTCAAAGAACCATGCCAGCTGCAGTTTAAATGATGTGTTAAGGGTGAATGAATTAACCAAAAATTCAGTTTGCATTGTGTACATGTACCATTGCCAAAATATAACAATTTGGGAACCATCAAAATAGTAGCACCACAGTCATAGGGATTGATGTGTTAATGAATGAAAATACATTTTCTAGATACTTTCAATAGGCTTCTTTTTTTTTTTTTTTTTTTTGGGTAC